ATTGGTTTTTTGATTTATGATGAAMATATTATTTAAAAGTAGCATTTTTAAGCTGATTTTTAATTTACTTTATACATTATTTCAGAACARCACATATTCTGTTTGTATAAAATTGTYTTTTACATTGGTGGTCTAAGAAGCGATTGAAACTGTGTAGGCCAACTACAAGTCATTTATACAAAACTATGCGGTAAGTTAACATTTAAAAATACTTTCCGTTGTAATCTCCTTATTAATTGATGTTCAATACGAGAATTGTATGGCTAAAAGACAAAAAAGGCAAAATAACAGTCAGGGACATAGTATATATGGCTGGATAGAAGTAAAGAAGTCCTAATATCTATTGGTGTACTTTTTATTATTTTGTGATAATCATATAAAGAGATATTGATTTTCCATATGTAAATTTTACATGGATATTTTTTGTGTAAAAACAAATGATTTTTCCCAATCCTGAATACCTTTAAAATTGTATATAATAATATATCTACCTAACATTATAATATTTAAATTGTATATGGCGTATACAATTAAATTGTAGATGATCATGGTTGTCATGAAAATGTTCTTTAAAAGTAGCGTAACTACTCTGTTGTTTAATCACTGTTAAGGCTGTTGACATATATAATCTCATTTGGATATCAATAAAAATTGTGCTAATGACATAACCAATGACGCATTGTTATGAAATAATGCATTGAACGTATCGCAGAAAGATGACCAGTCCTCCAAATTTCCACTAAATGTTGGAGGCTGGATTGTAGGTAACCTGATCGCATCACTTGCTGACGAATGCGATACACGAAGCGAATTATCTACTTCCACAACACTGAGCTTGCTGATCAAATCTTCCATGTCTGCTCTTAGTGTGCAGGTTTCATCCCCAAATTTTAATTGTTCATCGATATTGTCAGCAGCCTTATCACAATTAAGTAGTTGGGTTTGAACTTCATCAAAAGCATCTATATGCGTTCTTAGTTTCTCCAGTCTGACTTGTAGTTGCTTAATAGACTGAGAACTTGGGTCGAATTTTTCCACATATTTTTTAATTACTTGTACTCCAGCTTGGATTCGTTCTTTCTGCTTGTTCAACTTGCACAATTCACGGGCATCGTTGTCGACCATGATGAATGTAGTTGAATTGGTTGACTAGATGGTTCGTTGACTTGACACAGTGATTGATACAATACGATACAATATGATACAAATAAATTATATGTAACACTGAGTCAGTGATACCTGAACCTGATCACTGAGCCAGTGATACCTGAACYTGATTTAAGAATAGATTGGCTAGTGAAAGAATGCAATTTTAATACAGAGAACTTGAGWTAATAATTATAAGAGCAACAAATAACACTTTCTACAACTCAATTAATATACATACCATATAACAAATGAAAAAATACCAAAATGATATCACGTCGAGGTCACCAAAATGTAGCCGCACTCGGCTTTAATATGAATTGTTTAATTATATTAAAACGCCTTTACGGCAGGAAGGCAGGCTACCCAAAGTGCTGCACTACCAACCAGAAAAGAAAAATGATATAACTAATATAGTATGTATAATAATAATAATTGAGTTTTATTTTGACAATAATGTAAATAATAAATAGTAGCCCTGCTGGCTCAACAATGTGATATAGTAATATAATAATTTGATAATAAAAGTTGTGAGTCTGTTGGCTCAATACAAGTATAAATAATACAAAA